TTAGTCCGTGACAACGAAGAAACATATCTGGCCTCTTCATCGACCATCCATCCTCGCGGACCTGTGAACTTCGTTGGTTGTTTGTTCGTCGTCTGGAATGAAGGTCGCAGTCAATGATGCCACACATACTGCGGCATAGGTCTGCCCAACGATGCATGTCTATATCCTCGAATGAACGGTGAATTGGCAGACAGACTGGCAGACAGAGTGCATGGCCTTAAGAAGGGAAGAACACGTACTTGGGGCGGCAGCTGGATGCCAATGTCGCTTGACCACTTCCGCCTTCCCTGCAACACGACATATGCACCTGGTCAGCTCTGTTGCACTCCAGAAACATGTGTGGATGTCACCATCGCATGGTATATGTACCTGTGCCAATGCTGACGACTTGAGCGACAGCCCAACTGCGACATAGCCTTGTGTGATTGTTGGATGGTGCAGAGGGCGGATATTACGTTAACGTCCCCAAATAGCCTCTGCTTGGACACGGCCGCTCCGTGGAAACCTCGCTTGTTCCGTTGTTCCTTTTTTTTCCAGCCACGAAGCTGAGAGCCGCCCCAACATCATTTTCCTCATGCGATAATTCAATGATGATTTTTTACGAGAACCACAATAGTCGGAGCACTTACTTGGAATAAATGGACAAGTCAGTAACCCAATTCAATAGTAGTCTGTGGCCCCTGGGCAGCCCGGCCCTTTCTGCCTCGGCGTACGAGAAGTTCCGATGTGCTTTCCCGCAGTCGAGTGGCGAGCCACACAGACTCGTCGGGGCCGAGCGCCTACTCATCCAGTGCGCTAGAATTGAGCTCTCAACTCAATCGGGACCTGCGGCGCAGTATCGCACTCACGAAAAACAATTACTGGATACACCTAGGAAATAAAACCGTCGGAATGGTTTACTGTAATCACATTCAGAAGCGCAGATTGAATGTGGGTAGAGAAGTTACCTGAGGGTCCCGCCGCCCAATCTCAGGCAACGCACCCGAATTTCAACATCTTAAATTACCAAGTCGTCAGTCCCGTCCCCGCCCCCCGCTAAACAGAAGGACACGAGGAAGCAGCTGAAAGAAGGATCATTCGTTGTTCAATTCGTTGGCGGAGGTCAGAGCGAAGGTGGAAGTGGGCACCGAAGGAAATTCCCGGAACGAAGGGGTGCCGAGGCATGAAGGATTCACAGTGAGCTGAAGGCAAATTACCCACTCAAATGCGGAGAAGATGCTTCAGGGTGTAATGGCAGTGCGCCGTGTTGGACTAGTCCATAGTCACTCCAGGTCATCCCACAAGTCCAATCAAGTTGCAAACGGCAAGCTCTGAGTCTAAGATTACAAGGGCCAAATATGCGAGGCCATCAGGTCAGAAAGGACCATGCGGCCAAAAGATGAGCGGGACACCCACGACTTGAACGCAGGAAGGAAAGAAGGAGTTGGGTAGGTTCGGTCCAAGCCCCGTTCTGCCGATGCCGCGCAATGCCGGGTCAACCAAACAGGCCAAACATCAAACCAAATAGACCACGCGCGCCTTCGTCAGAAGGGGCTTGCTTCAAAGTCCGGAAATCGGGGGGCTTGGAAATCAGCTTCTAGAGCTCTAATGCGGCCTCGCAGCGCCGGGGTCAAATAGTAAATCTTTTATTTCATAAGTCTGGCTATGATATTCTTCTTTGCATCAAAACAGTCTACTGAAAATTCATCGAGTTCTGGAGGGTGCAAGAGGGACGAAAACACGATTTTTTTGTGGGGCCTCAAAGATATTTATTTTAGCTCAGAATCATGGGATATTTCATTTGAAGGTAATCTGGGTACGTATCTCGAGAGTCCACATCGAACCTTGGTGATATTCCACCGGTGTCGTGAGCTGGGCGATGAACAAGGGCAAAACGCGTCGTGTGTGATGCAATGTCACACATTGTGACACTCGCGTCGCGACGTGACTCAATTAAGAAACTTGCCTCCTCGACGCGCTATGGAGTCCCCCACGCGGAAGGTCCTTGGCAGGCTGCCTGTAACACCCAATGGAACTCGACACCGGGTCCCCGCGACCCCTAGGAAACGCAAAACTCCGGCTCCGGACCGCCTACTTGGGATAAAAGTGCTGAAAGAGACGTTGCAGGACGTGAAGACCAGGACCCGAGAGCGGCTCGGGCTCACCTTCGATTTGGACGACTGGCAAGGGGAGCTCCTACGCCGCTTGCGCCAGGGATACGACTCATTGATGCTGGCGGGCACTGGATATGGGAAGAGCATTATTTTTGAGGGTCTTGCCACCCTTAATAAAGCGAAAATTGTTATTGTAATATGCCCGCTGAAGGCGCTGGAGAGGGATCAGGTATTTTGACAAGCTAGACATCCTATACATACATTTAACGATCGCTCGGCAGGTTAATGAAGCACAGAAAAAGGGGCTAAAAGCGGTGATGGTCAATGAAGATACCGTCTCCCCCGAAGTCTGGGCGGGCCTCCGTCAGGGGCATGCAAACCTATACTATGTTTCTCCGGAGATGGCACTCTCCTCCAGCTTCATCCAGCTGTGGCAGGATCGAAGCTTCCGTCAACGAGTCCAAGCTTTGGTTATTGATGAAGCACACTGCATTGTGGAGTGGGGGGATGATTTCAGGAAGGAATACAGTGGACTTGCCAAACTGCGAGATTATATTGGGCAGGAGACTCCCATCTTGGCGGCGACGGCAACCTGTGATACGGAGGCCTTCAATGTGATCTGGAAATCGCTCAAATTTGGGTGTCGACCATTTTGGGGTATCGATGTTGGTACAGACCGCGGCAACCTGGTCTACATTACCCGAATCATCAAAAATCCTTCGAACCCTATCCTCGACGTCGTCAATATTCTGCCTGCAAAGATGGACAAGGACACACTGGCCTCCGCACTTGCCAAGTGCTTATTCTACTTTGACACCATCGAGGATTGTGCGACGGCTGTCGAGACACTGCGCAAATGTCTCCCCGCGCATCTACGGCTTTGTGTTCAGACTTTCAAGTCGACGGTCTCAGAGGGTGCAAAGGAGCGCGTTTGGGACCGATTCAACAAAGGGGAGATTCGAATTTTATGTGCGACAGACGCTGCGGGCATGGGATGCAATGTCCCGGATGTGGTGTACACAATTTTGTGTTCCCTAACCAAATCTGCATCAGTTCTTGCTCAGAGTTTTCCGGTATTCATTTGGCGACGTCGTGAATACGGTGAGGTAATCCCAAGCATATGGTGCATCCTGCTGGAATATTCCAGGCAATAGCCCAGGGTCCAGCATGCTGCGGATGTAATCTAGCGTGCAGTCCTTCAACCGGACCTTCAACCGAGGGTCGTTGATGACCTTGTCGCTTTCTTCGAGAGCGAGCTCCTCCATACATGGCTTGATGATGGTCGAGTGCAGATGTGGGACACTTTTTGGGAAGCGCTCGTGCCACAACTTGAATAGGTGTTGGGGTGCAAAGCCGTGAGCTTGATGGCTACTCATAAAGATGCCTGCTCGTTGCTTGACCGATGGGATGGCCGATTCAAAGAGAAAGAAGAGAAACTCCCTCAGAGACAGGCCGAGGAAAACAAGCAAAGAAAAAACTAGTTGGCAGCGGATCTCGAGAGAGGCAAGGTTCGGGGTAGGCTCCAGAGACGACAGAAGCGATTTCCAGTCTGGATTCACGTTGAGGCCCTCCAGGAGAGGTGGTGCCGCCATGGTTAATTGGCGCGACGCGGCGGTAACGGAGTGTCACAGAATGTGACACATATGCTCTCCTCCTTTCGAAGGCTCTCAGCTTCACTGAATGGTCCCCAATAAATCGGAGAATATTTGAGCGTTGTCCAGACATAGTAAGAAGCAAAACATACCGCCACCTGGTGCCGATAACACTACGTCCTAGACCTATAGCACACCATTTTGAAAAAATGACGAAGGCCACAATGACACGGAAACCAAAAAGATTGGAAGACACTTTGTACATGGATAAAATTACAGGACGATAGCTAGACATACTGAACACAATACGCAAAAAGAATCAAGGGGAACGAGGAAGGATTGAAGGCACAGGAAAAGATTTGGCAAGCCCCCTGATCACCGGACTCTGAAGCAAGCCCCTTCAGCGAAGGGCCGGCTCGCCGGGCCGGAGCTGCGCGGGCTTGCTCCGAACCTAGGAGTTGGGTGCCACGTGTAAGCTGATGGGATCTGATTGCCTTGCTTTGTCCTTGTTGTCCTGCAATTTTGTTTCCTGCCACTGATTCTTCTGCTGCGCTGTAGAACCTTGCCTGGTGTGGTCTCCCACCGATTCTGCTACAAGAGGAACTCAATCCAGTGTACACCATCAAGGTCGTATCTTGCTGAGTCGCTCCCGGTGAGTACCTCGCTGTCGCGACGGAGAGGTGCTGATTTTCTGCTCGGAAATCCTCTAGTGCAGAAAGACCCGACTCTTCCGAGTCGATCGGAGCCGATGGCCAATATGGCAATATCTGGATCCAGACTTGTGCCCAGGGAGTAAAACTGTTTAAATTGACAGACATTTCAGCCACTGCGGACCTGTCGCACTCCCCGTCTTTCCTGCGGGTACTGTTGTCTCAAAATAATCCAATTCCACTCCGTTTTAGAAGGAAAAGCTTCCACCGCCCACGGGTTCGCGGAAGTGGTGTGTGTGTGTCTGATTGACCTCTTTCAATTTTACAAGTTCACCAAGAGTCTGCCCCGCCCGCTCCTTTGGATTCTGCTTCCTTCGCGCTATGGGCCGGAAGGAGTACGGCCCTCTTTGTGGTCTCATTTTCCAGTAGCACTCTCAATTCCTACGACACCCGTGAGATGTGGTTGATTTGTGAGTGTACTCTGGGTTGCTTCCTTTTCATCTGGAAGAAGTAGTGAGCCTTGCAAATTGAACTCTGGGGCACAATGGAATAATCTTCCAGTTTGATACCAGCTAGTACTCTTTACACAGATTATATTAGAACCGGAAAAGAAAAGATCTTGAAAGCGCAAGGGTCGAAAATAACTTATTTGAACTGTAAAATAATTCCGAATAGGGGAATCGAACCCCTGGCTGCCGCGAAAGTCACGCCACATGAATTACGTAACGAAATGAGAGGCGGCAATGTTGAACCACTACACCAATTCGGACATGGTGCGAGTGTAACGACCATACGTGGCATAGATAGTTTTGGTCAGTATACATCACGGGATAGGCTGCACAAGTGCTCATCCGAATCGGAAATAGGGTAGAAATATTCATATAGCGCGCTTATATATACATGCATGAACTCTACTTGTATTGCGAGGGTCAACTTCGGGTTGGGCGAACGACCCTGGGACGCGCACGATTGGAGTTCGAAATAAGTTGATCTGGGAAGGAGATGCAGCGCCACCTCATATGACTCGTCGCGTCGCGTGAGCGATGAAAGCACAGCCAAATACGGTCCAACTTCCGAAAAAGAAAAGTTTAGGAGACGTGAATTGACATACTACGTTGTTATTCATCTTCCAATGCAAACCTTGGGGCTCAGAATACGCGGTGGTTCGGGCTACGTATTTTCTGTCAACGCACGGACCGTATATAGGGCAGATGAAAAACATCTATTCGCGTGACTTTCTTACATTGAGACTACCTCTTTTCACAGCTCGCACCCCCGGACGTACTGTGTCCAACCCCGTCCGACGTTTGCCCACCCTGACTGTAACCAAATTCGCATATAGTTGGTTGAAGTCCAGCAGTAACTCCGCCTTCCATGACCTATTGTGCACGCCCTCGTCTCTTCTCCAAGCAAAGATCTCCTGACCCATATGAGATCACAAGTTCCGGAAGGCCGCAGGGAAATTTTTCAGAGGATGGTGGACACAGGAGTTGATGTCGAATTCCTAGCACCTCGTGAAGAGTGTACAAGATATGCATCCGCTTCGCTCCGGCCCTTTTGCAAGGTTCAAGAAAGGGCAGAAAAAGGTGATATTGGACTCAGATAAATGGACATAAAGGCAACAGGAGGGCTTGCATAGCGAAGCAATTTGGACACAAAGAAATGAGGGAAATTAAACCCTCGAGAGGGCCCGATAATCAGTTCATTGCCGAATAGAAATTCGCCAGATAATGTTGATTGAATAAGTTTGGCGCCAGTAAATTTTGAAGAATCGTTCTAAAATCCACGAATTTCTTGCTTGAGGATTGGCTTCAACGGCAGTGCAGCGATTCATGTAGAGCAGCCAAAGAGGATACAGGTCAACGATCCCAGAGATGAAAGGTTTGAACAAAGTCAACAGCGCACTGACCTTTTATATTGAGCAAGAAACCACAGGTGAACAGCGTCCTGTGCCGCAGCGACACATTGGCAGTTCAGGAAGAAACTGTTGGGCTGTTGGGCTCACATTCCTACTCCGGGTTGACAGCCACAGCCGCTCGCAGTCGCTCCGCAGTTCAAGGGAACAAATGCTCACGGTATGATGACACGAGAAGGAAGTGATACTTGGACAGGGCTGCACAGGCAGATCGGTCCGCTCAGCTGCATTGTCCGAATAAGGGACTGGACCTCAGCGTGCGGCGAAGTTCATGAGGACGAAATTAGTACAGGTGCGAAAGAAATACCACTACTTCCGCCGCTGAACTGCGGGCACAGCGAGTCCAAAATGGAAGACCTCTGATGATTGAGGAAGGACAGTGAACGGAGAGGAAACTCAAAGGAGATAGCCTGGATGGGGATGGAGCCAAACAAAAGCTATGGATTTCGTTAAGAGAACGAGTAATGTTCACGACGGAGAACTGTCCGGGAAAGTCGAATTAATGTTTGGATGTTCTCTATGTACCTTTCAATCCCGTCAGCCAAAATAAAACCGGTGTGCCCACAACAGTTGTTTTGCAGTTTACTTCCATGGAATGATCAACATACATATACGCGGTTAGAGGACACCCATATCCGATAGGTCCTACAGTCTCCGTGACAGACACAGCAAAAGCTGTTGAATTTGAAGGCTGTGCGTAAACGACGGCTCGTCCCAGTCTTTCCAACCACATGATCAAGGTGTGTGCCGATAACGAAGCTGTAGACATGCTCCATATCAAGACTCGGACAATTGACTCCGTAGCAGCCATATAAGGTGTTTCACCGTGAATCGAAAATTTCCCTATCGCCGCCATGACCTCCCTCGTATTCGACAAGAACAGCATGCTCAACACGACGATCCGGGATAAATCCGGCGCCGTTTATACAGTATCCACTCGTCTCCCTGGAGCATCGACATACCTCCGGTCAGCCGAGCGAACGTTACTAGCGCACATAAACCGGAAGATGTTCCTCCCCGACACCATCTCCTTCCCCGAAGTTGTCGGCAGGGGATCGGTCAGAATCAGCAAGTGGTTGAAAGATGGGACGCTGGCTGATGGCTCGTGCGTGACATACTGCCTCGATTGTCTACCTAGTTAAAAAATGCCTTTCAGCCCGGCATCCATACTTCATCTAGGGGGAGAATCTGCCTTCTTGACAAGCAATGATGACTATGGCCTGGCGGTCAGTTATCGCTCCTCCGCGTCGCTCCCTCCGTAACAGGCGTGTACATAGCTCTTGTCAGCGGCCGACACGGAAACCATCCTGGCCCATTGGGAACCCATGACTCGGTCTTCACCGAGGGTACTCACTATTGCTGCAGGGGCGCATGAGCACCTGATCGAAATCCTTACGGCGTTTTTGTTCCAGGAGGAAAAACTCAGAGTTGGAGCGAAGAGGCCGATGGATTCTGCAACGGCGGCGATTGGGCTCATGAAGGGACCGGGATCGGGATGAGTCGTGATGTGTACAGTGTACTGCCATGAATTCGATGTGGATGTAAAGTTGAAGCGAGGGAACGGTCGGGCAGAGCCGTTTATGGGAGCGTACGAGCCGGAGGAGTGTGAAGAAAGAGTGAAATGGCCCTGCCAATCAATACCCAATAATAAGAAACGAACATTACTGATCTATCTTCGCGTGGCTTATCCATTCAAAGCAACGCTCTTTTCTTCTTCCTCTCGATGACCGCATCACGCTCCGCCATCAAGCTCACCCACTTACGCTCATACATCCCCTCCCTCTTCTTCCAATCCGCATCCGTCCACTCAGGCAGCACCGCCTTGTACTCCGGCGCAAGTCGGACGACCTCGTCCTTGAGTCCCTGGACGTACGCCTGCTCGTCCGCGCCGAGGATATGATATGCGACGAGCGACGACAGCTCCTGCCCCTCGCGTGCGCGCCCCGCCTCGCGCAGCGACTCCACCTGCGCGAGGCGCGCGCGCTCCCCCGCCAGCCGCGCCTCCAGCGCATCGGGAATCCCGAGCCGCGCGTCGAAGAAGAGCGCGAGCCACGTGCTCGCGACGTCCGCGAGCGTGAAGGGCGTGTACGACATGACGGCGCCGATGAACGCTAGGGTGGGGTTCGGCGCGTAGAGGATGTGGCGGTACAGCGCGGGGATGCGCGCGGGGGAGGTGTGCGCGGAGGTGAGGGCGGTGAGCATCGGCGGTACATTTGGCGCGCCCGTGGAGCGCTGGAGGACGCGCACGAAGGGTGCAGAGGCGGCGCTGTATCCTGTACCTAGGACGACAGCATCTATGTCGGTGAGGGTTGGCCCGTTGAGGAGCTCGAGGTTGAGTTTCCTGTTGGATTTCACGATGTACCGCGCGATTGGGGGAACGTCGATGACGCGAGGATCTGGAAGGAAGGCAAAGCGGCGAAGGCCTTGTCGCCGGATGGATCGGTATACGGGTGCCTGCGCGACACCTTTTAGCTGCGCCGCGATGTCGTTGCTAGAGTTGGCATTTCCGACCACGACAACGCGCTAACGGGTGTTGAGATGGGGAATAAGGAACCGAAGAAGTACACACCTTTCCTTCGTATCCGACTGGCCCATGCCAAGTCTGCGCGTGCGTCGCGAGGCCCGCTACCCGCGCTTCTACTAATCCCGGCGCGTCTGGCCACGAGGGATGGTCATACCACGAAGTGGCAACAATCACCGCATCCCATACTTCCACACTTGTCTCCCCGCTTTTGCCCGCCCGCCAATCGCGCGTCGTGACACTCCAGCCGTGCGATTCTGGCAGCTCATCGACCCAAACGACCTCTGTTGACAGTCGGATATGGGATCGAAACGGGGCGGCGAATCGGCGGAGGTATTGGTACGTATCCGCTAGGCTGGGATACGGATGGACCGTGGATTCGGGTTCCGGGAATGGATGGTGCGAGAACGAGAGGTATTCAGCCAATACGTTGCCTACGAGCCCAGGATAAGCCGGGGACGGCCAGAATGGACGGGTACGAGTAATTTCAGGCTTTGGAACGTCTTCGAGATACCTGATTTCGCTTCAGATAGCTCGGTGCATTTCCTTTTAAGATCCAAGACTCACCAAACTCCTCCCACATCCTCTCTTCGCTCTACGAGTACTACCTCGTCAAAATGACCTCTCTCGATGACGTTTCGCAGGGAGACTAACCCACATGGACCGCCACCAATAATGAGTATCCGTCGTGGTCGTTGAGAGAGTACGGAGGACATCACGAAAACGTCGTCAGTACCCGCTATCAATAAGCAAATTCGTGCGTGCTCAGATCGGCCACGTCGACTGCCTGAGAGATTTGTGCTCCTCTCGTCGACGCTTCACGCGGTGCGGCGGGACGGAGCTCAGAAATACCGAACAAGAGAAGCGGAAGTCTTGTCCTAGCCTATCTCTTTACATCGCGCCGTCAAAACTAAAATAATTGTCGAAAATTTTAGGCGATTACATACCTACTGTCTTTGAGAAGGGCGAGTCGGATAAGCCTGGAGTTTACCAGATAAGCACTGGGTTGTGGGCGCCGATGCGATAGTTCTCAGTAAAATATGTTGGGAGTCCGAGTAGAGAGAGAGATGCAAACTCACGTCATTGTCACACCACAAGACGCGACGCGTGCCCAAAACAAAGTCAAATAACGCGACCTCCTCAGTCCCTTAACGTGTAGTTAATCCGACAAGACTCGTGAGGTGCTTTTTGAGGCCTGTGTGTTGTGCTGAGAAAGCTGCAAACCCTCACCTAAGTACACTCACGTCGATGCGCATAGCCGTGCGGCCGATTACGGCCGAGTCTTTGCTGTTGGCCTATGATACCGGAGAACCTATTTTCCACGGTGAGTGCC